GCTCCAGGCCCGCGCAGCATAACTGTGGCAGGGTAGCAGCCCTCAATATTATGACAGCCGGCAGTGTCTCAGCTGCGTAGATGGGGCGCAACTGCAAGCGATGCGACTTGCAGCGTGCACCGATCAGATGCAATACTGTCTCGCCATGAGGCGCGCGCCCGCGCAGTGAGTAGTTGGCCCCTCGGACGCCGCGCCCCTTTACTTCGCCATCTTCGCCCGCGCTAAGGCGACAATCTCCCGGGCCACTGTGGTGGTCGACTTCTCCTGTAGAAGTTAGAAGCTGATGCGTCATTTGCCGTGGGCCTGGCTGAAGCTTGCGCGCGACGGCGCTGAGTCATCGCGCCCGGAGGCTGGCGGGCCCCCGCGCGCGTTGAAAGGGCATCGCGCATGCCGCGAAGCACGCCTGAGTGCTCAACGCGCGCGCCGAGGTGCCGCGCGAACTGATGAACATGCCGGGCACGGTATTCGCCGCCATGTTTTCTTCCACTACAACGCCCGTGAATTCTGAATGTTGCGTCGGGCGAAGCTGTTCGATGAGTTCATCCTGATCTAGCTGGGCGCGGCCGCCCTCGGCCCCAGTGCATCGCGCGGCGCAATTGGCGCAACGTTGTTTGTTCAGTTTGCACGCGCCGAACGCATCCTCTACACGTTTGACGCGCTTGCCAATAGCGCCCTCCTCTCCTGCCGCGGTCAAGCCATCCACGTGCCTGGCTGTTGGGAGGTTTGGACTCGTCTCAAATTCTTCATCACGTGACGCAGGGTTTCGCCCGGATCCTCGCGTGGTAACTATGAGCTTCAGTGAGCATGCCCTTGGGGCGGCTTTGGTGCCAGTGCTTGGCCCATGGCGCTGCGGACAGTGTTTTGACGCGACACAGGACGAGCAGCCGAGCAACGCGCGCGGCGCCGAGTCTGAAGCGGGTGGAAGAATAGAGCAACTTATGCTGTGTTCCTCTCCAATGGCTTCTGCCAACTCAAGATAAGTCAGACCTTGCAAGAAAGCCTGATGAATTCCCATGGGCGCCATGATCAACGTTTTTTCTCTTCTTGCGCGCGGCCGCGCTGGCGAGCAATCTCTGGTTTGCTCGACAAGCTGGTCGAATGCTTCGACACCCGTACTGCCACGAAGAACAACTGCAGTCGCAAAGTTATTTCAATTTCGGCTTAATCGTTTTTGTCAATTATCAACGTGTGCAGGTATATGAAGGTCATGATATTAGTAGCAGTCTTGATACCATGCATCTTGAGCATGTGTTACCCCACCATTAGTACAATTCGATGTACAAGGCTTTGGATATATTTGTCGGGTTTGTTTGTTTTTCTGCCTTCGGCAGGAGGTCGTCTTCCTTGACAACCACAACTCTTCTTGCTGCGACTGGGACATGCACGCGCGTTGTGGTCCGCTGGTCGCTGCGTAGTGACTCGCATTATTGCTCTGACAAAGCAATCTTAGCCGCGTCAGCAGTAAAGCGTACCTCAACGCACCGACCGGATCGTGAGTCTCGTCGTTTGGGTGGTCCAAAGTGCCATTTTCCGTCGGTACCACGTTCCGATCATAGCATACTTATCGCAAGTTTCCTTGCTCCTCACGGGCCACAGCCGCGAACTCTTCCTTGCAAGGGCGGTCGCTCTGCTGGTCGTAGTCACCCCCGTCGTCGCGATCGCGCTCGTGGTCGCCCCCCCAGGGTGCGGGTCCTTTCCAAAGTCCCGCGCCACTTAGGCAGGAGGGGGCACGCTGACGGACTCCAGACCCCTGCCCCCAGTGGGGGGCGCTCTCGTCCTGCTCGCGCTCGCAGTCTTGCGCGTAGTCGCAATCGCTCCCATGGTCGCTGTCGCACTCGTGGTCGCCCTCCCCGGGGCGCGGGTCCTTTCCAGACTCCCGCGCCCCTCCGGCAATGGGGGTTTCGCCGACGGGCTCCGGGCCCCTGTCCCCGTGAGGGGCGCTCTCGCCCCGCTCGTACCCGCGCCCGTACTCGTAGTCGCAGTCGACCCCGCAGTCGCAACCCCCCCAGGAGGCGGGTCCCTCTCGGACATTCGCCCTCCTTCGGTGGGTGGGGCCCTCGCCCCGAGGGGGCGTCTCTCCTTCCTGGCCCAAGTTGGGAAAACTCCCCAGCGCGGAAGCCTGCAAGGCCTGCGCGAAGAGGTCGGAACCTGAAAGGCCTGGGCCGCGCACCTGCGGGGCGCCCCCCGCCCGCCCCTTCTCTCCGCGTTGGCCCGCGCCACCAGGGCCAGGGCGGGGCCCTGAAGTGGGGGGAGGGTCGGCGAACATCCGTACCGAGGTTTTCTCTTTTCCCCGTTGCCTCGGGTCAAATGGTGGATCCCAGGAAACACACCCGCGCTGGCGGGATCCTGGCCTCTCGCGGGGTGCGCCGGCGCATGGGGTTCCTCCGCCAGGGCGCGGGCGGTTTCCGAGGGCCCGACCACGCCCGGCCCCCCGAGAGGGTGCCCGTAGGCCCCCCCCCCCCGCTCCGCCGAGCCACCGAGCCACAAGGCTCGCCAGTCCTGCCCAGGCTGCAAGAGCCGCCGCCAGGGGTACCGCGAGGCAGCCGCCGAGGAAGAACATGACATCCGGCCCGGGCGGCTTCGCGGTGGGGTCAGGGGCCCGCCCCCGTCGTAAACGGAGGTCGCGCAGCCTAGGCCAGAGGCCGCGGAGAAGAGAAGGGGAGGAGAAAACAGGAGGGAACGGCAGAGGGGGGAATTATCCCGTTCAGTCAAAAGCCGCGAACCCGAGAGGACGCATAGGCAAATCGAGCCGCGCCTTTGCCACGCTCGCGAAAATGGTAACAGTCAGACTGGCACACACGCGCTTGCTTTGACCAGTGGGGGGGGGAGGAAAGGGGGGTAACGGAGAGGGAGGAGGAGGAGGGCAAACGCACAGTGGAGCCAACGCTACATATGTTGTGTCAGCTCATGCACCTCGGTTGCCCATTGTTGGCGCGGTCGTCCTCTCCCGCGGCGGGCGGGCCGCACTTTATGCGACCCATCTGCATTGAATAATACTAATAATACTAGCTTCGCAAACGAAATAGCATCATAGGCCGCAACGTTATTGTGCAAGCTTACCTGTCTACAAAGCAATTATTGCGACGACGGTTTCGTCGCCGCCTTATCCAAAACTAAAATCGTTGCTCACACGAGATATGTACGAAGATGGAATACCAAACTGTCGCCGCACGCACTTGCAGTGACAAGCGTCCAAACGAGCGCGGTCAGCTTTCAGCAACCACAGAAAATCCAGGGAGTAGAGGAGCTTGCTCAAGACGACGGCGTCGTAGATCTTGTACTTTCGTTTCCACCCGATCGCCGCTCTGGACCAAATTTTGTCTAGTTGCTTGAAAGTCACACATGCCTCCCCCAATATTCTGGAAAATTCTGTCGAAGCCCTCCCATCGCAAGACACTATTCTGTCAAACCCCTCCCATCGCAAGACACAAGCCCCTCTAAGTACACCGCGTCCCGGACGGTCTTGATATCGCCCCCATCTGGCTTCGTGATCTTTTTGCACGTTGACACCTGCAACTGCAACGTCTTGCCCCAATTCAGTTCCAAACCACATATATATATATATATACACACATATGCCCTCCTTCTACGATTGCACTAGGGGGTAAACCCCCCTTTCAGGGGTAAATCCCGTTAAAAGGTGTACCCCCCCTAACTGCGACAATCACCATCATCACCAGTCATCACTCCTCACCAGCAATCACCAGCCATCATTCGCAGCGGCACCAGTATCTTCCTCCTCAACCTTATCATCCTTCTCCTCCTCCTCTTCGTCCTCCTCCTCATCATCGTCGTTGGCGACGACAAAGTCATCACAGACATCATCATCATCATCATCATCATCATCATCATCATCATCACCACCAGCAGCAGCAGCATCATCACCATCACCATCACCATAATCACCATCGCCATCATCATACATCACTATCATCATCGTCGTCGTGATCATCGTCGCCGCCATCGACACCGTAGTCGTTGTCGCCATCATCAGCACCACAATTATCGTCATCATCATCATCACCATTATCACCATCATCACCATCATCATCATCATCATCATCATCATCATCATCATCACCCCTCCCGCAGTAGAAGCTGGGTCAAAGCAGACAGGTAGTCGTATCTGTGCCCCTTCCCTTTCGGGTTCGTCACTGTCAGGATTCCAATGCGGGGGCCCTTTGTTGTCATAATTTCAACCACAGAACCTGTATATCGATGTTGATCGCTCGCGCGTGCTACACCCCATCCCTTCCCTCTCGTCCCGCCGATAACAAAGACGGCCAATACGCCTCGCCTGTGAGAAACGCTAGAAGGTCTCACACGACTCGCATATTCTATCAATACGGTTGCGCGGGGTCCCGTCCCGGTTAGTCAACCTTTTGTTCTGCCGTGAAAGGGCACTGGAGGATGCCGAGGGTTCCCCCTGCGGCCCCTCGGCCAAAGAAGACGGCCACAAGTGGGCGCCACATACCCTCATCACCAGTCCTCCTTTGCGCCACAGGCGCCAGCGGTCACCTACCAGACATGTCAGATCCACCCTCCTCTTCTGGGCGACGGACATATCCATGTGAATGCCCTCACAGTCAGGACACTGGCACAAGGCACCGCCCATCGATTCGCCATCCTAGGTATGCGTTCAACGTGCGGCATCCGCGCAAAACCGCCATGTATCCACGGGTAGCGGTCGAGTAGTCCTGACCTCGAGGCCGTAGATATGGACATGTTTCTTCCCTCAGATCCTCCCCCTCCTCCTGAGAAGCTCCCTAAGAACTCCTGGATCCCAGACCTCCGACGTCGTGTTTTGTTTCGCAAGCTAAACGCCTAGACGCTTTCCACGTGGCGGGTTTTTGGATGACGGGCAGTCGTTGACGGTCCCGGGGTCTCCTCTCGGCGCTTCGCGACGCGAGGTGGTCTGGAATGTCCAGGGCAGACGAGCAACATCGCCCTCCGCAAGGCCGCCGCTCGCCGCCCTGCCACCCACGTGCAGAATGGCGCGCCTGGGCCTCCAGGTCGGCGCTCGTACTGCCTCTCTCCGAGGCGCTCGAGAAAGGCGGCGACAGCAATGACGACGACGACGACGACGACGACGGCGACGACGACGACGACAACGACCGAAACGACCACGACGACTGAAACGAGCACGACGACCACGACGGCGCCGACGACGACGAGGACAGGAGAGGAGGGAAGAAGACAGGAGGGAACAGGGGAGGGACAATCCGCCGACCCCCGCTTGCCAGGGGTGACATGGCGTGGGAGATATTTAACTGTCCCCACCTCCACCTCCATGTTCCCGTCCCCTGGGGGGGGGGGGGGGGCTCCCGAGCGCACTTTTTTCTGGTCGTCGGAACCTCCCAAAATCACCCACCGCGGCCTACAAGATGCCCGAGATGCCCTCTAAGATGGCTCGAGAAGGGTTTCACCGCGCTTGAGAGGCCTCCAGAACATGCAAGATGGCCAAACGGCTCAAGAGGCCTGGACGAGGACCCGCCACACGACCTCAAGAAACATTATTCAACGCGGAGATCCCCATATGTGCATTTCATTTCCTGACACGTCTCGCGGTGAGTCTGCATGTCAGTGCTTGTGTAAGAACGATTCCAAGTGGACGACGGGTACGACGACGACGTCGGCGGCTACAATGAGGGACAGCGAACACGACGACAACAACTCACACACACGCGCTGAACAGGTCCTTCTCCTATCCTTCCTCTTCCTCCTCGTCGCCCCCCCTTCCTGCTCTTCTGCCTTCATTCCCTTTCCCGTTTCCTGGGTCCGCCTCCTTCCTCCTCCGTCCTATCTCATCTTCCTTGGCGGTCGTCCTCCTCCGTCCCGTGTCCCCCTCCTTCCTCGTGTTCCCTCCTCCGTCCTCCCTCCTCCTTCCTGGCAAGTGCCCCCTTTCCTGGCCACCCCGTCCCCTTTCGTTCCTCTTCCTCCTCGCCGTCGGCCCCTTCCTTGTTCCATCCTCCCTGTTCTTCTCGGGTGGCCGTCCGCCTGCATCCTTCTCCGTCCTCCCTGCTCCTCTCGGGTGGCCGTCCGTTGCCCTCATGGGGCTATGGCTGGACACAGTCAGCAGTGCAAAACGAGCGCCTTGCTCGAGGGATCCCGACAAGCTGGCACCGAACCGACGGATGTCCTACTGTTTGGCGGGTGCCCCCTAGGGGGCCGACGCCAGTGCCCTTTTTGAGAAATCCTCAAATCCTGTTCCCTGGCAGCTCCTCCCCTGGGGAATTGAAGCCGGCGCATCGGTCTTGTCGTCCTCACTATCTGCTCCCTGGCGGCCTCCTGTTTCAAGCGACTCGCTGACGTCAGCACTCGCAAGGGGGGAAGCGGGGGAGCGCTGCACGGGCCCGTGCGCGCCCGGATTGAGAGGATGTTGCAAGCGACATCCTTTGCTCCTGGAGCAGTTTGCGAACATGTCCCAGGCGCGGCGTTGTTTTCAGCACTCCCGGTGGGGGAAGGGGGAGGGGGCGTCGCACTTGCCCGCTTGAGTTCAGATTGCGAAAGGGGGGAGGGGAAGAGGAGAGGCAGGAGAGGGAGGAGGAAAACATAGGAGGACGAGGAGGAGGAAGAGGGGGAGGAGGAGGACGGCGGAGGTGGTTCGAACAACAGGCCCGCCCTCAAACGAAGGCGTATTTTCACAGGCGACCAATGGGATGAGTCCATCTTGGACCCCGCCCGCGCGGCCCGCAAAGTTCTGCCTCCAATCCCACCGATCCCCTACTTCCAAAAAGAATGAACCGCAGGCCGCGCCGGGAGAAACCCTCAGGCGCCCGCGCCGGTCCACGGGCGTGGCTCATCCAATCCCCACGCGCAAGGGTCACACGCCAGCATCTGGGCGGGCGCGCCAGCGGGGCGGGAACTGGCTCTGGGGTTTAGTTCACCGTCGCCCAAAGGTTTCCCCGGCGCCCTGCCACCACCCGCGCCTCGGCGCACTCCCCCGCGCCCCTGTAGACAATGAACATCCACTGCGGGTGGTAGCAGACCCAGAGCCCAATGCCATCCTGCCCCCCTCAGATGAACCGCGCCCCTCCCAGTTGCTCCAGGGGCAGCAGCTCGGCGGGCGCGGCGTGGCCGACGGCCGCCTGAGCCGCCCCCAAAAAACCCCGGGCCGCGCGGCAGTGAAAGCGGCCTCAGTATCCCGGCCGGTCCGCGCACTGGCGCCACATGCCCGCTGTGTCCGGGTCCGACGAAGGGCCCCCCCAGGGGGCGCGTTCGCGCCCTGGCCATCCGCGCGACCCCGTCGCATCTCGCGCGCCCCGGGCGGCCGCTGCCAGGGCGCCCCCCCCTCTGAGAATCCCGGGGGCGGCGGCTCCGCCGCGGTCTCGGAGTGCTCCGGCGCTTGCGAGAGGGATGAACGAGCAAGACAGCCAGTCAACATTTTCCCACTCCCTATGGAATGGCGCCCGCGCGGGGCACTTGGCCGCGGGGCGCTCCACAGAGACGCGCGTGCCTCGCGGGTCACGCGCGGAGAGGTGAGACGAGGGGGCGACGGCGGAGCCCCCGCCGGCCTGGCCTGAGACCCCCCCCCCCCCTTGCGACGCATGGGTGGCGGAAGCGCGCAGAAGATGAAAAAGACCTGGCCGGGCAGACCGCGCAGCGACGGCATTCCAGAGGAGGCGGCAGTAGAGAAGCGTCAACTCCGCGGTGAGAGGCGCCAGTTGGCGGGGCTGCGACCCCCCCGCAGAGGCCCCTTATTTGCGACAGGAAGAAAAGGGCAGAAAGGGAGGGAACGGACCCAACTCCAGAGAGACGCGGGGAGGGTGAATCCCTGCGACCCCAGGGGCTGCGGGGCCGGACGGGAGGGGGAGGAGGAGGGGGAGGAAGGGGGGAAGGGGAAAGACCCCCCGGGGAGGGGCACCCGTGCCCATGCTTCGCAAGAAGAAGAATAGAGATCTGCTCGGAGCTGCTGCGGGGCCCACCGGGGGAGTCAATCTGCAGTTGAGGGCGCTGCGAGCCCTGCGAGGAAGAGTAGCGCGAGTGACTGCGACGACCATCAACAACAAAACGAATCAAAAGGTCACGGGTCCGCTGTGGGTGCCTATAGGTTCCCGCCATCGACGTTTCGGAATCGTCTGCGCGAGCAGAGTAGACTCGGCCCTTCCATGCCCGGCGCGACGCGCGCCGCGCGACTTGCGCGCGGCCCGAACGGGCAGGGAAGCCCACGGCCCGCGACTTTTCAGCATCTCGGAATCACGAATCTCTTTTCGAGCTTGGGAGAGGTGACGCGCAGCGAAAGTCTGGGCACCAGGCGCCCCCGCCAGCTGTGGGCTGCTCTTCTCGATTCGGGGAACGAAATGCCAGTCCCGCACGAGTCCCGCCGCCGCCCATGCCTCGGCCAATCGGGCTTCGAGAGTGGCGAAGTCGCGAGCCGAAGACTGGGGCGCCGGCCTGCGGGCCCGGGCCCGCGCGCCATGCAGCTCTGCCAGGGCGCTGGCGTTCCGCGAACGATCGCGAGGATTATTCCGCAAGCAACGCACGCGCGCTCGGGTGCGTCAGCACGTTGGGCGAAGACCGTTCGGCATGGCGCAACCTCCAGCAAACGCTCCAACATGAATGCGCGCGCGGCGACAGAGATCACAGACAGATGCGCGAGGAGAAAGAAGACAGGGCACATGGTTGGCGGGGGGGAAGCAATGGATTGATGGAGATAGCAAGGGACAACAGACAGCGAGAAGAGGCAGGCGTCGACGCGACCCTGTGGGGAAGCGGCCGACAACACCTCCCCCCCAGACGCAAGACAACGTGAAATAACTAAAGAAAGAACCTTGACAACGGGGGGCACGTCGAGAGACAATTCAGACCCGAATTCACTCGATATCAATATCGAAGTTGCGATGCCAACTGAACAACTAAAACGTGTAACGTGAGCCACTCGACGCTTCATAAATGCACGATGGTCATCAAGAAATGTGTCAACTATGCGATGCTGGCATCAAAATAAGAGTCATAGGGATGATGATTTGCGCAGGTCGTACTCAGACGCCTTCCCGTGGCATTAAAACGTACGGCATCACATTCGATGATATTGTTGGCAGACCATATACTGATAACGGACCGCCCAATCATCTGAAGCTATGGCGCCGTCCTTCGACTGGCGCTGCGCAGCTCAAAATGGGCAAAGAGATCCGTCGCATCACCTGACGCAATTGCGCCGTCCTTCGCGCGGCGCAGCACAAGTGCAACTCAAAACGAACAACGACGCAACGTTGGTCACATGGCTTGGATGGTGCAGCAACAACGGCTGATAACCTGCGGAAGGGACGAACGAGCAAGACAGCCAGTCGGCATATACCCACCCCCTGTGGAATGGCGCCTGCGCAGGGCACTTGGCCGCAGGACACTCCAAAGAGACGCGCGCGCCTTGAGGGTCGCGCGCAGAGAGGCGAGAGAAGAGGACACTTGCGGGCATCCCCACCGGCCTGGCCTGAAGCATCTCCCACGAAGCTAGTGCCCCGCACGCGGACGGCCCCCGTTCCTGCGTCCACTCAGTGGCGCCTCCAGCACCCCTTCCCCTGGGCCGATTCTGCGCGCGACGTCGAAATCGCCCGCCCCTGCTGCCGGCGGCCGGAGCGCAGCTAGGGGCAGTCTCGGCTGCGCGCGGGCGGGGTCGCCCCCGACTGGCGGCTCTGGGGCCGCGGGCGGCTCGGGGGACTGCGGCGCGGCCCCGACAGCCGCGGGGAGAGCGGCCGCAGCGCCCCCGGGCGGCGGCTCCTCGGCCCCGCGCGCCCCCCCCCCCCGCCAGGCCCTGGCTCCGCGCTTGCTCTGCGTTCCGTTGGTTCCCAGCAGTTCCTTCCTGGCCACTGGCGCAACCGGCTCCCGCTCGTGAGGTTTCTCCAACTCCCGGTGCGGTGGCGGCGTTTTTTGGGGGCGGGGCTCAACCTGGCGGGCCCCCGCGGGACCTGGCGCCGCCCCGCGCTAATCAGGATTCGAACTAGCAGCGGAGCGGCGCCCCCGAGCTGGCAGTCGTTCCCCGCGGCAGGGTCGGCGCCGCTGTCCGCCCCCGCGAACAGGTCCAGGAGGATC